TGGGAATCTTAAGATATTTAATATTTCACATGGTATTGTATTATGCAGCCATCCTATTGCTGGACAGCAGGATAGTAATTAGGCCTGTAGATCTAGTCTGAGACCCAGTATGCACATAGAAAAACTGATTTTAGTTAAACTAGTGCAACTACCAGTCTGGTTTAAACTGTATATAAAGTGTGTTCACATAGTAGATTTGCACTGATTTAACTAGATTGATTTATCTAAAATTGTTGTTTTAAACCAATGTAAGTTTTTTGTGATCAGTGCTGTTCCTAGGCCACAAAATGTCAAACTGGAACCCTTTCAAAGAATTCTTTTTTTCACAGATTTTTCTTCTCATCTGTTTGAAATTTTGGAGCACTTTTGTAACAGAAGTAAAGAATTATTATAAATGAAGGGCTAGTTGGCGATAGCTAAAATCTTTGAGACTATAATTCAGTTCAAACCTTCCTACCCCTACACACAAGTGTACTCATCCTGGGAGCATAGAAGGGGTAGCATGTAGCTTGCACACAATTCCAGCATAGTTCCACAACTGGCACTGCATCACCCTGGAAGCTGGCCAATGTACTAAGGTGTAGTCAAGGCTTAAATTGGAATGGATCACAACCCAGAATTACTTTTGGAGGCTGCCATCCTGTTCAGAGTCCCCCTTTATTTTTAAAAGTAAAGTTGTCAGAAAACGGTCAGCATATGACCTGCATGTAACCAATACACTGAGTCTGCAGCCAACCTGAAACAGTAGCTCTGGGAGGTGTGACCTGCCCAAACTCATCTCACTGTCATGTTAACCCAGACCCCGTGATGTTTTAAAGGTCAATATTAACTTTCACTGCTGCTCAAAACCAGCTGAGGAGGGGGACTATAATATGAAGAACACCGTTACCAAGTGTGACATTGTAAATTAAGCATTATGGGTGGGTGGCACGAGTACCATTCCTTTCCCCTTAAATCTGATCTGTGAAGATGAAGAAGCAGACCCTAGGGCAGCAAGAGAAGGCAGATGAGCTCTGTGTGTGCAGCAGGGCCTTCAAGCTCCTCCTCCTCCTCCCAGCAGATTGAGTACTCAGAGTTACAGAGGGGGATGTAGGTCAGGTAGCTTCTTCACTGGGTCATGGAAGCTGCTGCTTCTCCCACTGCACCTGTTATACTTAAGTCATGATTTTTAAGTTTCTCTTCACAAGCATGAGGGCTAGATGCTTGTTTTTCACAACGAAAGCTTTTGGTTTCTTCACATGATGATGAGAGTTAAGGCTATATACCTTAATCAAGCTATGTCTAAAACACGATGATCAAGCATGTGCCAGTGGTTAACATCTACAAGTAACTTCTTAAGTAGGTCATTACTATTTTTATTCTAAACCTTGAGCCCAAGGTTTAATGCAAATTGTATGTTTGGCAAATCAGCACCCGACAGTCAAATTTATAACAGGTAGTAATACTTATCTAAAAGGACAGTTACCGCTACTGTAGAAGCTGTCTCTTCAAACTAAAGTAGATATTGATTTGGAATAGCTGGTTGCTGGGGAAACAATCTCACAAGTCGAATTTAAATATGTATCAGGAAAGTGATGTGCATTTAAATTTGGTGACAGGTGATGAGGTTCATTTTAAACACAGCATTCCAGAATGTTGAGCAAAAGATAGCACTGGTGTGTGTACTTACTATACAATGTTAATATCTTAAGCAAGTGGGGTACAGGTAGGAAGCAGTAGTTCTGTATTTCAATCATGTTTCTTCAAGGGTGAGAAAAATAAGTTTTTTTTTTTTTCTACAGCACTCAAAATATATGCTACCATTTCAAAACGCCACATTTATTACCTTCTCTTGTATAGAGTATCAGGGCTCTCAGATTTTTCAACCAGATTATACAGCGGTGGTCAGAACTATGTGTGTGTGCAGAGCTTCAATGAAAACTAAGACTCTTGTGGGAAGTTTTTTATGGAAAAATTAACTTTGAAGTATTTCAGCTTTTGGCTGAAATACTTCAAATTAAAAATGGCACTGCAGTGGCTGATGGGTGCCCTATGCTCCCATTCTCTATGGATGTTCTCTGGCTGGACTAAATTTCCCAGGATACATTTTCACCCCTTTTGGTGAGTACAGGGCATGCAGCATAAGAGTCCCTGGCTGTTGTATATCATGGGAGATGCAGTTCCAGCTAGAGAGCCCAACCCCAAGAGTGGAAGTACAAGGCACTGTGGTGCCATTTTTTAATCCAAATTTTTGTTTTTGATCAAAATAATGTTTTCTATGCAAAGGTGACACTTTATGACAATTTTGACAAAACCCCAATTTTCCATCAACAGTTGACACAAGTTTTAATCAGGCTTAATTGCATACTGTTACCTCTATATGCCATCTGTTACAAAAATCGAACAGGCAACTTTAATTCCACTGAAATATTTTCTGTTTATTTCCTAACAAAGGATTGGATAATTGCACCAAAAGGCTATGCAGCAAACTACTGTGATGGAGAATGTTCTTTCCCACTCAATGCACACATGAATGCCACCAATCATGCCATTGTACAAACTTTGGTGAGTATATAGAAAGACTTGTGCTAAACTACAAGTGAAGTTGGAGATCAGATTAGTTGGTACAATCAAATTGTTTTCTTTTTTGAAACAGGTTCATCTTATGAATCCCGAATACGTTCCCAAACCCTGTTGTGCACCTACCAAACTAAATGCCATATCAGTTCTTTACTTTGATGATAACTCCAATGTCATTTTGAAAAAATATAGGAATATGGTAGTAAGAGCGTGTGGATGTCACTGATGCACAAACATTCTTCACCCAGACCTACTGTGCAATTCTACCATGAACTTCTAGATTATAGCTACCTGACCTTGGAGAAAGTCAACAAATGCTCTTGAGATGAAACAGACTTCTAAAACACAATGTGTGCGCCTTATGAGAGGAAGCAGCAGGGTACTTCTTCATTGATCTGTACTCACTTTGTAACGGGAACAGGTGCTGGATTTAAAAACAAACAAACTGATCTACAGCATGGCAGCCTTTCTGATCTGCAAAAACATGAACTGCAAGGCTTGCGAAAACGAAATCTGTCCCTACACATTTTGTTAGCTTCAATCATTCCCTGTATGGTATTAAACTCCCCTGAGAGTAGCAGAAACTTAAAAGAGGAGCTTGGCCTTGTCAGTTGGGCAGTCTGCACTTCAGTTTTACCAAACCAGCATCTGCTACATATAAGCCTTGAAAAAGTGTCTCCTGTAGACAAAAAGCAAAGCTGTAGTAGTAAAATATAGAAATTATGCTTTTAATACCTTACCATCATGCATTTTACGTTGGACAACCCCAACGTTAGGAAGTGCCTTCTATTTAAAGAATAGTTGCTACATCAGTATGAGTGGTTTCTTCCAGAAGCCAACTTGATAAAGAGCAACTTCAGTTGTGCCAAAGCAAGCCTTTGACCCTCTGCATTCTCCAAACACATATGCTGAACCATAGACTTGACTAGATATTTAACTGCACCATGTATTAGTTACATAAGGACAAAGCCACTCCCTGCCTGGTTTTTTTGAGATGAATGTTCCAACTAGGCAGTGAATTTATAAATTTGTTCTTGTGCAGCTTCCTACCTTGTTTAGATTCTATAACTCCTGCACGATGCATCAACTAAGCCTGTTCTGTTTTATTCCAAACATTCTTTGCTCCTCAACTGTACCACCACAGAGGAGGCTGCAATCAGGACAGTTCTACAACTGTAAGTTTATACATAAATTTCGAAGCAGCTCCTGTGTTGGAGAGTGGGCATATTAGTGAAGATGCAGTTTATGTAAAACTATCTGGCCAAAAAGGAAATTGCATTTAAGAAGTTGGTTTAAAGGGTATATTCACATTTTAGCCATAGCTTCTAATAGACTAGTTTTATTCCCAATGTTAATAGTAACAATGAATTTTCTGATCAATGTTAAACTTGTATTAAATGCACTTACCTCTAACTCTTGCATTTAAAAAAGCTTCTTGTAAATACAAGCTATAATTTATTGCAGTTGTCATCATTGTGCTGTAACATTTATAGAAAGACTGGGCTTTTTAAAAAAAGTTTTTATTTAGAAAGTCTCAGTATAAACAATTGTACTACTTTGATTTTATACAAGAAACTCATGAGCCAAAGCTTGGGCTACTCATGAGATTGTGCTTCACAAGAGTTTTAAAAAACATTAATAAAGGCTTCCTTTAAGGCAGACGTCTATACATTTTATCTAATACATCTGCCATACAATATTTAGCCCTCATTGTACACTTTCCATGCTTACCCAGTTTTAGTTTGAACAGAACCTGTGGTCCTTGTCAGAAAGAGTAAGTTAGTGAAAATTCTCTTTACATCAGTATTACATATGGACACAAAACAACAACTTGACTTAGAGCAAAGTGCTGCCGTATGTAATTCCCAGAGATGTCAATGAATTTTGATGCATGAATGAGGGCAGAATTTAGCCCCTTAGAAGAAAAGATACAACTACATTAGCAAACTAACAGTGTCTGCATTGTAAATTCTTTGGCTTTAATGTATTAGAACACCTCACACAATCAGGTCATCATTCAAGGCAACGAAGTGTATGGTCCTCCCATTCAAAGGTAGCAACAGGAACTGAACTGCAGTGGTACTGAAGAGGCGTTTTGCTTCTCATTTTAAGGAACAAGAAACACTTTTGAAGTATCAGTTTGCTTATTAAATAAACCATGAGTTCATCTGCTCCTGCTGGTTAAGTCAGATGAGTGGTTCTAGCAGTAAACTGAGGCAAGAGAAATATGGTACAGAAAATTATTTGCAACCAGTTGTTTCTAAAGGTGTTAGAGAGGTAGACATCTCTTGGAAAATAATTAAGTGGTTGTTATGATAACATCCTCTCCTCTAGCATTGAAGAGAAGTGTCCTGTTTGAACTGTTATAAAATCCCCCATCTGCTATGGCATCAGTAATATTCAGGCACATAGTAAAAGTACCACTACTTTCATTATGGCTACAGCCTCCGATGACTAGAGAAATATTAACAGGAAACAAGCCTGGTATCTTCCAAAGGGGTGTGTTTTCTTTTTCAACCTCCCATTTTTTGACCAGCTGCTATATTAAGACAGAGTTTTTAGCTTCAGTTGAAAAGGCAACATTTATTAGTACAGCTGTAGCTTGTACCTTTCTAGTAATGGTGAGCACTTTGTAAGCTGTACTTTGGTAGCAAGCCTTTACCCAAATTCAACCTGAAGACAAAAATAGTTTACCCAGTCCCTTAACTTGATTTTCCTCATCTATTTTAGGCTCAAAGGAAACCATTTATATCTCCACAGGGGAAGGTAGAAATGTAGTAATACTGATGCTGAAAATACTCAATTTGCACAGTAACTACTTGTTACCAGTTTTCCTTGACAAACAATGAAAGTGTCAGTACGGTGTGGCTTTAAAACACACACACAAGGAAGATACCACAAGTCAGTACATTCAGTTTTCAAAAACAACAAAAAACCAACCCCACCCTTTGAAAATCAATATCATTAACTTCATTTAACTCTCCCCATTAGTGTACAAGAACAGTCAGGGCAGAAGTATCCATGTGTGTTTTACAATTCATCCCTTGCCTGACGCAAAACAAACTTATGCAGCGTTTCAAGATCTCTGGCTCCATTGTGTTCACTGACTTTCTCCCCTGCTCGGAAAAGCAACAGTGTTGGATAACCGTTCACCTTTAAGAGGGGGGAAAAAAACAAAAACCGTGTCACTTCAGTAGCATCCTTACAACACCAGCAGCCACCCTAAAGACTAGGGGCCAAACCCCAAACAGTATGCTTAGCAGTGCTTAACTTTTGGCCCTCTGCCATCAGGTGGAATGAACAGCCCTGCGTTAGGCACCAGGCTCCCTGTACATTGCTGGGGAGAGTTGGGTACCTAAAAAAAAAGAATTGAGCACACTAAGGCATTCAACTCCCTGCTCTGCTATCTTCATCTCCCGGTGAGTGCCCTAACCACTGCAGTGGGTCTCTCTCTGTTGCCTGTTGAAGCTTTTCCACTTTGTATAACATATTTAAATATTCACTAGCACAGGGACTTTCCTAACCATCAGGTAACCAACCATCCCTCTCTTTTCCCCCCTGCACGACAAGAGTAACTTCTGACGTGAGCGCGGTGACAGGATCACTAAATTTACAGTGAACTGCCACCTGGGCCAACTACTGGACACTTCAACCTGGGGTACAAATTATTTAAGATTATCCAATTAATTTTAAACCATCCACACTTACAGAAAATCTGTTGCAGACATTACGTTCGATGGTGCAATCTACTTTTGCTATTTTGACATCTGTCAAACCTGGGAATTGTTCTTTGGAGAGGTTCTCCCAAGTTGGAGCCAAGTTCTTACAGTGACCACACCTAGAAACAGACAGACATGTGTTCAGCAGACATCTTCCAGTGTAGGTCCCAGCTGCTTTATCACGATATCCATACAATGTGCTCTCTCCTACCTCCTTAATCATATGGGCCAAAATGACAATTATGTGAGTAAGTGGACAAGGTGGATCACTGCTGTATTTGAAATAAGCCAGATGATTTGAAGGTTAAAATAGTTTCTGGCTTTTATGTAGTCTCTTCTGGTACAGTATTATGTGAAATAGCGTATGAACATCTCTCACCCACCAGAAGCTTGTAAAAGCAAACATGAAAAAGATCACAGAATATATTTAAATAAAGTTGCTTATATCAAGGCACAAACTGTTACATTGTTTAAAAGGTTACACTTCTAAAGTTTTAAATAAGCTACTAGGCATGTACAGTACATTAATTCTCTCCACCATGTCACTTCCCCTTCTCCCACCAAAGCTAACCCAAGACACTGATTGATTAGTCACATCTCAAGGGGTGTGTCTGTTTTTAAGTCATATTGCACAAAATTTATGACATAAATGAGACTTCTCTTTTCCTGGCAAAAGTTTTTATCCCAACCCCACCCCCCTTTTAATAATGTAGCCTCCTGGCACTATAAAATTGAAGTTCCTATATTAATGCTAATGAAAAATGCATAACGTTTCTCAAACCCTAAACTCTGCAATAAAGGGGACTCAAGTAGCTTAATGTATTTTCCATCTTAAATTTAACCTTCCTGAAAACTAAAAACAATCCTTCACACATTAGCTTTGTCCTCTTTGCAAAATTGATTCTCTTCTCCCCTACCATCCTCAGGTAAGTCACATAGCATTTGCTTCGCTTATCGTTTTTACCACTACCACTGTTAAGTATTGGCTAAATCTGGAAATAAGTAGTTTGCCTATGATTTTTGCTTTCTACAGACAAACGTAACATACTGGCCAGATTCTGATCTGCATTACACAGTTGTACATTTAGAGTAACTCCATTCAAGTGAGACAGAGTGGACAGGTCTATGGATGATTTACACCACAATTATTAATTTGCACTATCATAACATCAGTAGAATGTGGGCCTCTAGATGTAGGTTTTATATAGGAGTCTTTACCTTAGATTTTATTTTAAAAGTAAAAAAAGAATAGCCACCACTAGATTATTACAGTATTTTGTTCAAATTTTGAACTTTAAAGTGCTTTTTTTAGGGATTTGTTTCTTGGAGGCCCTATAGAATTAAAGTTCAAAGACATATGCATTAATCATTTTGTTCTGCCTCAGTTGCACCTTAGGTTGATGGTTACAGAAGCCCATGAGTATCTTAAGGCTTGATTCAGGCATCGACAAAGATGGTGAGAAGTCTCTGCCAGAGTTTTAATTCTACAATTCAGAAAACAAGTATATATTTGAACTCTTCTGTTAATATACACTGAATGTAAAAGCATTACTGACCATGCACAAAAACAATTAAGACAAGATGGTCTCATACCTACCGTGCAACTTAATGTTAATATTTACCTAAAATAAACTGAAGGGCAAAAGTAGATCTCAACCTAATAGTATTTGCTTAGCCAAACACAAATTAATCTACTTGGAAAGGAAAAAGGTCATTTATATACAATGAACTACAATTGTATACACAGACATGGTTTTTGAGCTAAGAATAGGATACCAACTACATGAATGTAGCAAACAGTTTCCTAAACTATAACTTTGTGATAACCAATCTATCCTCTGGCAGCAGCTAATAGGTTGATTCTTTGTAGTGTATGTTTAATACACCCTTCCTCAACTGCCATCTGGCATTCTTCTGGAGTTTGCCCCATGCACCAGTGCCCTTTTTAGAATCCAGTGAGAAGAGGGGAAGGTATTTAAAGTGCAGTTTTACTCTGAAAAGTAACTAAAAAGGGCTTATTGGGATTCCACTTTTGTGTCTCAATTCTCTTTATATTGAGCTCAGAAAACTAATTCCCAACCCCACAAACTACATCTGGGTTCTGAATCATCAAGCCAGATTCTTTCCTCCTTGTGCATCGTAGCCCGTAAAAGGCTGTGTAGGCAAAATCTGGTCCTGTGCAACCTCATCTGCCTTCAGTGGCGCTGCACAGGTATAAGCTGAACAGTAGACAATTCCACTTATGATATATATTAAATAGAATTCACCTCATTTCCTCTTAGCTGCATTGAGTCTACAGTGATGAGTAAAAAAGCAGTTAATTTTTGACACTGAAGTCAGCAAGTTATTTTACAGAACCCAAAGTATGCCAAGAATCACCACTGTATAAAAATTACTGTACTGCCCCGTGAGCTTACAATCTGGTTTCAGACAAGATACAAGAAAGTAGCAACAGAGTATGCTGGGAATGAGCGCAGAAGGCAACACAGCAAAGGCAAGCACTGTTTTTTAGTATACAAATATCTATATTAATACTGAATAGACATAAGAAGCTGATCTTTTGGGTAAGAAAAAGCCATGACAAGTCTTCTAGCAGTTTTACTCTGATTTTACAATTTAATTTACTGTGTTTCTCTTCTTCCCCCAGAGTATCTCTCATGCATAATAGGGTAACACTAGTGGCCCTCTAGCAGAAGCACCCCGTCACTCTCAGCCTGGCTCAGGAGTAGCTCTCACACATCAGGGTCAGTAGATTATGGATCCCACACCATGACTTGGGCTCACAGCCAGTGCTGAAACTGCAGTGTAAAAATAGGGAATAGTGCCATGCTGAGAGGCGTGATCACTCACTCTGCTAGGTACAAATTAAAAATTCCATGATGCTATTCTTACCATTTACAAAAAGTATTTCCTCATCTCAAAATAAACCACAGTAAAATCTGAGATTGCTAAGCATATTAAATTGTTAGTTGCATTTGCCTAGTTCTGCTGCACTACATATGGCTAACTTACTGCTCTGAACTACTAGGACTTCAATACAACTAGTATAATAGTTTTTTACTCCATCACCCCTTCCTGTTCAATGCATCTTGGGGGTTAATAGGAGGATGTGTGAGGAAATTTGAACTACATTGTCTTCTGCACACAATGACATTCAACTTTTTCCAACACAGAGCCAGTGAGGTGGAGCCCACTAACAGATGGGGGCAGGAAGGAGAGCTAGCTGCCTGAGGCTCACTCTAGATATGACTGAAGTTTGTAGGTTTGTGGAAGAAAGTAATGAAATTGTCACTCCTGTCGGGTGTGGGGAGGAGTGATATGTTTGTTACACAGGTTTGCAGCATTGGGGTCTTGTTGCATGTACCAGCGGTGCTGCGCATTCCAGTAACAAGCAGATACCAAATATAAATTAATCATTTGGGAATTTTTCCACTGCATGCAGACTAGAGTTGCCAACTTTCTAATCGTACAAAACTGAACACGCTAGGTCCCACCCCCTTCCCCGAGGCCCTGCCCCCACTCACTACATTCCCCCTCCCTCAGTGGCTCACTCTCCCCCACCCTCACTCACTTTCACTGGGCTGGGGGTTGGGGTGCAGGAGAGGGTGGGCTCTAACTGGGGGTGCGGGGCTCCAGGGTGGGGCCAGAAATGAGGGGTTCAGGGTGCGGGAGGGGGCTCCAGTTTGGGGGGTGGGGCCGAGGGATTCAGAATGCAGTAGGGGGCTGAGGGTTGAGGTGTGGGGGGGGGGGTGCAGGCTCTGGTGTGGGGCTGGGGATGTGGGGTGCAGGAGGAGGCTCCAGGCTGCGGGGGTGGGCCCGAGGGATTTGGAGTGCGGGAGGTGGCTGCAGGTTGAGATGTGGAAGGGGGTGAGGGCTCTGGGGGGGCCAGGGATGAGGGGTTTGGGGTGCAGGAGGGGGCTCCAGGCTGGGGCCAAGGGATTTGGAGTGCAGGAGGGGGCTGTGGGTTGGGGTACAGGTTCTGGGCTGGGGGTGCAGGAGGAGGCTCCGAGTTTGGGGGGGCTCAGGGCTGGGGCAGAGGGGGTTGGGATGCAGGCATTCTTTAGGCAGCTCCCGGGCAGCAGGGCAGCGGGGCTAAGGCAGGCTCCCTGCCTGTCCTGACTCTGCACTGCGCCCCGGAAACGGCCAGCAGGTCGGGGTCCTAGGCCGGGGAGGCCCAGGAGGCTCCGCACACTGCTCTTGCCTGCAGGCACCGCCCCCCCAGCTCCCACTGGCTGTGGTTCCTGGCCAATGGGAATGCGAAGTCAGTGCTCAGGGCAGGGCACGGAGCCCTGTGACACGCCCCCGCCTAAGAGCCGGACGCTTTCATGGCGCAGTGCGGTGCCCCAGGACAGGTAGAGATTAGCCTGCCTTAGCCCTTCTAATGCCCCAGTTGGTGGTGCTGACTGGAGCCGCCAGGGTCCCTTTTCGACCTGGCATTCCAGTCAAAAACTGGACACCTGACAACCCTAATGCAGCCTTCACCACGGTCATCCATGCTGGTCACATCAAGGGTGGGTTACTGTAACTAACATGCATTACATGCAACTTCACCTTAAGATCACCTGGAAATTGCAGCTAGTTCTGCACTCTGGTTACAAGATATTAAATAGGACTCCAGTAGCAGCACATTATACCTGTGCTCCATGATCTGCACTGACTCCCAACTGATTTCCAGGTGAAGTTTCTAACCTCAGAAGTCCTAAACAGTTTGGGCCCTGCTCTGATGCAGAGAGCACCTCTATGCTGGTGTGGTTCCAAGAAAACTGAGATCACCGTAGGTGCTCAAGCAACAGCCAGTTTAAACCAAGTCAAGGCATTCTTAGGTGGTGAGTCTTCAAAGGAAATGTCACTTCCCTCCTTTCCCCTCATGTCTGCCAGAGCCTGGATTTGATTCTGGGTATGCAGCACGGTGGGTTTTGCCAGTCTTTCTCGGGGGACAATAGATAGAAGAATTTTGTTGCCACTCTGCTTGTTTATAAATATTTAATTATTCAAGCTTTGTACACAAGTTAAGATTTAATGCATTTTATATATCTAAATAAAAATTATATAGGAGCACAAAACCCACACCAAATAATGAATAAAAAGCTAAATACCAATAATTCAGGACGATTTATACAAAAACTACTTACCATGGAGCATAGAATTTAATAAAGGTAACCCCTTTAGCAATGGTTTGGTCAAAGTCTTTTTCAGAGAGAGACAGGACTGTAGCCTGTTAAGAGAAACATAATTCAAAACTGTATAAGAAATCAGTCCTTTGAACTCCTGAAATACGTTAAAGAGAAACTCACAAACCTGTTGCTGTCACTACCATGATATCTATTCAATAAGATTAGCAGTGTATGCCACTGCTAACCCCCAAATGACATCTTTCCCTTATATGCAAAGAAATTAAAATATTTCAAGGTCATTTTCACCCATTTTTTGAAAAATGCAGTGTACCCAAATATATAACTTTGTAGTATCTGAAAGGCTAAGTGTCTAGCAGCTAATGAACCTTCAACTTCATTTTCATATGCTGTCATGCAATTTCCTATGGAATCACTGAGCTAACAATTAATCTGAAGGGTTAAAAAAATAGTAATGTGTGAATTAAATGAGCTATCTAGGCTATTCTGATAATATCTTTAAAAGCTCTCCTACTGTGTTGTTACTTTATGTAATGTAAACAGACTTTTGTCACTAGAAACAAACATTTGCATGTCAAGTGTAAAATGCAAACCCCTCACCAAGTATGGATTTCATACACGCTTTTTAGTAAGTGGTAGCTGAATGGTGGGAGGAGAGTGGGAAAAAACAAAAAAGGACAGCATTTTGCTTATGTGTAGTCTAGTCGTTTGAATTGACATAAAACTGAGTTCAGTCTACCAAATAAGGATTAAACCTCTGCTCTAAAAATTGTGTGCGGGAGAGGGCGGGCTTCAAATGATAAGTCTGTGATGACTGACCAAATCTACTTTCTATAAAAGCCTCAGGTTACAACTGGGAATAAATGAAAGAGGGAACTTACAATACTACTTCTTACCCCAGTAAAAAAGGATCTTTTACTTTAAGAGAACAAAAATCAAAGAGGAAAAGACATCAATAAGTTTAATTAAAAAATTTCTCTGTATTTCTCATTTTTATATTAAAACAGTCAAATCTAAAATGAAAAAGTCAATTCACTAAAGCCCTATCTTAGATAAAACACTGAAATTCGACATTACAGTATTAAAGATGTTGGTTAACAACATTTACAAAAAATATTATTAGGTCATGAAACTACATGTAATTATTTTATTAAGCTTGATTTTATCTGAAAATTAGATATTAAACTTTGACCTATAAATTACCAGAGGAACAAAATCTCCCACATGTATTATAATTTTATATGTTTACCACCATCCCACATTTTGTGGGCATAACAAACACTTATTTCGCAAACCACAAATATTATATAAACCGAACTTAGGCTGTACTTGTGGATGTTACAATTTCTCAATGATATTTGCACATTAGTTGCAATAAAAACCAAAGATGAAAAGCAGAAGTGTGTGGTTGTTGTTTTTTTAAAAAAAAGATAAAAACCTAAAGTGATGAAGTATGACCACGTAGAGTACTAATGGATTTTTATTACCATTTGCTTGGCAATCTGCACGACTCCCTGTAGCTCCAACACACAATTAATGCAGTCATTCCAAACTCAAAACTTTTACTGCCATAATCTGCCACACTATCACATTCATGTTTTCCTCCGCAATTCTTGCTCTTCCCCCACCTTCTGTGGGATTTTTCCCCTCCATCCTTCCTTTCCCTATTAATACAGTAACTTTGTTTTTCAGATGCTCACCTATTCCTGCTGTCTCTTTCCTATTTCAGGTCAGAATCCTGTTTGTGACAATCATCTCCACAACAACCAAATGTGATGTCACAAGGATTCTGACTATGTGAAAGACACACAAGATGCAATTTAGTAGACAAAAAAATGAAGTTCATTTTTTAAAATCTATCAATAGATGGATATACATGCAACTAGCTAAACAATTTACTGTGACTATAATGACATATGGACAGATTTTTTTCTTCAGAGTTTTCCAATGCATCAGGTTAGTAAAAGCATCAGAAAGGCTTAAGGTTATACGTTTCTCAACAGCAACTGCTAAACTACAATGTTAAATACTAACTTTATTAAAAGTTTTGCATGCAAACATTTTTGGCAAGGTTTACAAAGCTATTGTTTACAGGTTACTAAGCTATCATTTTAGCCATCAAAAACTTTGTGGTAAATGACGGAGTGGCAGTAGAGCTGTTGGTATAAAGATTTTTGATATAATTTTACAGCACAGTACCACTTACCTCATCATGAGTGGGTTCTGCAGGCTGCTGTGGAACTTCAGATGGCTTCTCAGCATCTGGGGCTTTCTTGGCATTTTGTAGCTGAGAATCGACATATTCCTTTAATGAATCCAAATCCCTCTTTCCTTTATACTGGTCAGCCTACAATTAATCAAATGATTTGTGAAAATACATATTGTTTGTTTAGCAAATAGAGTTTTCTGAAGTTTTGGATTTTATCTAAAGATAAACATGGTAAATATCTGTAATAGAGCATGTAATATGCATATTCAAAATAAAATGCTCTGTGGTCTGTAAACATATGTACTAAGTTTACTCCAAGGATTCAGAATTTGCCATGGAATCCTTCCCTTGTACTTTAGAACCTAAACTTTCATTTAAAAGAAAGATTCAAGATTTTAAAAAGTAGCTGACTAGAGTAAAACATGGAATTAGGAGCACTCAAAATCTTGACCCCTCATTTCTAAAAGAAGTTAGCCCATGTTTCTAGTTCTCAGGGTCACAAAGATTATCTTCAGTGTGTAAACAGAGTATAAGAAAAAATACAGCAAACTATTGGATTTAGTCTCTATGCTTTAGTTTGATCTGTTGTCACTGTGTTCTGTTGGTTAAGTCTAGTACTTCCTTTGACAAGGCTTCAGTTTTGGAATCTCAGATTCCAATAAGTCCCAGAAGTCTTTGGGGTCAATTTCAGCCCCCTCAGGTGTGAGCTATGAGATGTACCTTAGATTTGGAATATCTTTTCAAGGTACTGTTTACAAACTTTCCTATACCATCTGAGAGTGAAAAAGACACGCCTCTTTAGTCATCTCCTATGCCTTTGGTGGACACTGCAGACCTATCTTTGCCATTCATATAGTCCATGTCCAAATAGCTGTGGCCTCTTCTGTCCCTCCTCCCACATTCCCAGTCTAAACCAGGGACACCAAAGATCACATGAGAAGTCTGTACCTGCTCATTCTGATCCATTTCAGCAGGGCAGAGCTCTGCCCATTTTTTCTCAACCACCCTTGCAGACCTTATCTACCTCTTTCCAATACTGATGACATGATGCCAAATTTCTATTATGAGGAGGAAGATGACGACAACGATGGAGACAATGCTCAACTGGCTGAAGCAGTTCCCCCCCTTATTGAACAGTATTATGACCTTCCCATTGGACAACTATAAAATTTTCCAGGAGTTGCTGGGTCAAATGGTTGGAAGTTTTATTTCTGGATGTCATACTTGTCCAAAGAAACATCTTTCTGATTCTGAGGGGAGTTCAGCATGAGGGAATAGCATGATGTTGATAAAGGCCAACTTGACCTTGCCAGAGATCTGTAATTCACCAAGGCAGTGGCTAAAAAGGAGACTCATCTTTACCAAGCATAACAGCAGAGTTTTTATTTTTTTTCTTCTTAGCCTCTGGTTTTGGAAGCAGCTGAAAGATCCAAGGGAATAGGAGCAACTTTATCTTCACTAATGGATAAGTAGTTCAAAAAAATAGACCCATCTTGTCAGGAAAGCCTACTCTGAAGTGACCATAGCTCTTTGTAATGTCTATTAAAGTGTGGTGGTGCTGATGAAATACACTATTATTTGAGTATCAGAGGGGTAGCCGTGTTAGTCTGGATCTGTAAAAAGCAGCAAAGAGTCCTGTGGCACCTTAAAGACTAACAGATGTATTGGAGCATAAGCTGCGTCTGACGAAGTGGGTATTCACCCACGAAAGCTTAAGCTCCAATACATCTGTTAGTCTATAAGGTGCCATAGGACTCTTTGTTACTATTATTTGAGGACACTAATAGTCTCTCTTGGAACAACAACATAACGCATCTTGGAAATTGTTTTGGAGGATCAGAATGTTCCCTTGTGCTTAAGAGCCTTTGCTGTGTTGGTCTCTGCTGTTAGGGCTGTGGAGACAGCAGTCAGCTTAAATCACCATTCTCAGCTGTAGTTCTCCCTCCAGAAGTTCAGAGCAGATGTGGAGATTCTGTTACAGGCTTTGATGACCACCTTGGTGGTTATGCTCCACAAAGATTCACATCCTTACCCCAAATTTTTAAGGTGATTGTTGGCTAATTTGCACTGCAACACAAACCTTCCAGTTTTCTTCCTAATACCAGTTACTTGGGGAAAATAGATGCGTAAACTTGACACAGAGTGATAACTATTTAGATTCAATGATATCTGTTAGAAAGTTACCTAGGGCTGTTCACATCTTTTCTGATAGTCTAGAAATGAATTACTAAAAAGACTTCGGAAATGGGTTGTTCTTTGTGTTTAGACTTGTTGCAATCGAGTTGATGTCTTCCTGAATAACAAGTTTAGAGCTCATTCCACTAGCTCTAAGGCAGATTAATTTAATAGACTACATAAGCATGACTTAATTTGTAAAGCTAACACTTTCAGCTCTATTCATATGCAGCACTATTCTCACTAATTTGAATCTTACTCCAATGCTTGAAAGCAGTTCTGCGATTCTTGTTTAATTAGTCCTCCTTTAGAGTTACTTCTGGTAAATCTCCCAGATGTGAAGATCTGCAGAGGCAATTCTCTTAGGAGGAAAATATTACTTACAGTAAAGCTTATTTGGTGCTGTTCAAATGTATTGGCTCTGCAAATCTGCACTCATTTCCCTAACCTCTTCAAAGTCCTTCTTGCAATTCTTTGAATTTGGGCAACTGGAGCCACAGGATTCTTATAACCTCACTTCAAATGTTCAGACTTGTGAATTCAACAGGCACTGCTCTGAGCTGATGACTCCAGGGCCATGCAATACCCATGAATGTGAATCTGGAGAGGCAAAATCGGGGGGAAGAGGGGGATTCCCTCTTTTAACTTTGTATTTTGTCTATTTCATCTGTATTTCCAGACACTTTTACAAGCAAGGATAAAGTTGGAAGATGAAAATATACCCAGAGTTCTCTCACAAGTTGGTATGTTTTGAGATATCTATCCCTGGTTTATGAACAATCTATTGTTTTTGGTTATTTGCAGACCAGAATGCACAACTATGTTAGAAGTTTTATTTATGGCACAAACAAAAGTAGTCATCACCCCATCCCAAACACTGCCCCATTCATATCGTCTATCTTTACATCTCTTACAAAGAGGCTTTCAAATATATTCAAATAAGCCAACTTCTCCCAACATGCAAGAACGTACTACAAGCCTGCTTGTCTTCACAGAGGAAGAAAGGGTTTGACCTCGTACTGTATTTGCGGCCTCACCTTTTCACCATTCCTAAACCAGAGGAGGGTGGGATATCCACGAACTTGGTTTTCAGAACAGACTTCATAATGCTGTGTACAGTCAACCTAAAGTTTAAAATAGTTATAATCATTCACTCATATTGAATAAAATCCATGCTGTTCCAATCACAGCATCATACCCTTTATATTTAATATCTCTCAATATGTATCTACAGAGAAAGGCAAGGTTTGTCAGAAGCTAATTGAAATAATTTACAAGTCTTGTCTTGAAAGCCATTTAAGTCTGTGTTCCAAATCTCTCTCAAGCTGCTCAAGGAGGGTAGAGGCAGAAGCAGAAAAGAACAAAGGCACTATGATTTAATATGCTAGTTGGAACAAGCATTCAGTATTTGCAGAGTGAAAAAAATTACAACCTGGGCAGCAGGGCACCCAATACTCATGTTAAGAGTTTGAAACTAAATTTTCAGTACAAGGATTTACTGGCTCGGGTTTTTTTTAAATCATATAGGAGTACTCTGAAATCAGAAAGCAAAACAGCTAGTAACTTGACGTCAATACAAGGGAAATTCCAAATGCTGAGCAACTGGAATTCAAATTAGATTCTAATTTTGCCACAAGCCAATTTGTAAGGACAGATAGTACATCTACACAGGGATAAAAGACCTGCGGTACAGCTGTGGATGGCCCAGGTCAACTGACTTGGGCTTGTGGGGCTAAATATTGCTGTGTAGACATTTGGACTTGGGCTGGAGGCTGAGCTCTGGGACCCTCCCCCCTCACAAGGTCCCAGAGCTCAGGCTCCAGCCCAAGCCCAAATGTCTACACAGCAATTTTTTTAGCCCAGAGCCAAAGCAGAAAGCTGAGCCAGCTGACCTGGGACAGCAATTTTTTTTAATCCCTGTGTAGACATACCCTGATTTACAAATCCAATTAATAAGCAAATCAATAATCTACATGTCACGTGCATGGTTTCAGCATCTGCTTGAGATAACACTTAGATTTTTAAAGTTAACATTAGGAACTTTGCGCCACAGATCACTGAAGTGAGGACAACTAAGCAGACTACAGGCAAAAAGTAACAGGTGCTACTGACATTCACCTGGATTACATGAAGGTCACGTTTCCTGCCTACTTAGAGAATCACAGTCTGAGCCAAAACAAGTTTCCAATAGTTTCATGGCATCCTGTTACACAAAACTGGGTAGGCATTGAGACAAGACTAACTGCCTTTATTAGGATAAAAAATGCTAAAGCATGCAAGATAGAACACTGGATAAAACAGGACTTTTGAAAACAATGGACTTATAACTCTCTACGTGAAGAGAGACTGGGTAATACTGTAGTAAGAACATACTTAAACCAAGCAATAACTGCACCAGATAGCTCACGCAAACATTCCAGATGCTCAAAAAGTAATCACTACATGCAGCATTTAATACATACAGATAGTATCAAAGGACCAAAATCCTCTAGTACTTTATTCTGAGCAATCTCAGTTGTGTTACCAGATTTCAAAACATTTAAATTTCTCAAAAGACTCTCTGATCTACACCATAAGAAAAGTCTACTCTTACAGAGAGAAAGGAGAGACTGCAGCTTCGTCATTAACAGTTTTACTTAGACGTTAATGGCAGCAGTCTTTAAATACCAAGTTAATACCTTTGAAGGTTTAAGAGTTTAAAAAAGTTAGTCTCTATACATTTAGCACCATCAGATAACATTGAGGGATTCAGACTGTTAGACACCAGCATGACTTCGGCATGGGTCAGCAAATAAAGTGAGTAACTGCAGTTGCCAGACCACCTGCATACCTCTGCATAGAAGTCACTTCAGGAACAAATAATAAGCTCCCATGGTAAATACACCACAGAATCTGGTTATCATCCCTAAGGGAAATAGTAAAGCAGGACAAGATATCAGTTTTTAAGACAGAAGTCCCCCAAAAGTCTATACTAATTTTTTTTGTTGGAGGATATGAATAGATGAGAAACAACGCATCATGAATGCCTTTATTGGGTCTAAAATTTACAAAGCTATCCAGTTGTATACAGCATATTGGAAGAGGAAGAGTAATTTTTACTACTGAAAATAAATCTTGAAATTGATGAAGCCCTGACAACAGACAAGGGCAGTGCAATACAAAAATCAAAACTGAAAATATTCCTCTCATCATCTACTGTATTCGCCCTTTCTGTTGGTTCATACCTCTGAAACACAGTAATCTGGGTACAGACAAGTTTCGGGCATGCCCTTATTTAAAATGAATAGGTCTTGTCAATTCAGAGTTGGCCATCTCATCAGGATAAATAAAATATCTGGGTCCATGTAGCATATAAGAGAAATAGCCAGCTCAAAATTAAAATGGGATCTGTGAAGGTGAAATGATTTATCAAGTGACAAAATAGAGTAAATAAAGTTTGGCTTACAGACTATATAGGATGAGTAGCGTGCTACTTGACTAACGTATTCATCCAAAGGAGGTATATTTCGAGTTTAATAAGAGCTTTCAACCTACCTTGCCAATCTTGACAGTTTCAGAATGTTCAAGAACTGAGGCCAGCTGTTCCCAGGTTGGAGCCAAAGCTTTGCAGTGGCCACACCAAGGGGCAAAGAATTTGATAAAGTGATTACCTTTAAAAGAAAAAAGAAAAAAAAAAGGCTCAATTCATATGTACCTGAAACAGTGGCTGTCATTAAAGACTAGCTATTTACCACCAATTATAAATTTATCATGGTATTTCCCAGCTTAAGTACAGGTCATTTTGAAAATATAATAGTAAAGATAAAATACTGTAATGCAGTAAACATTAATTTGTAAATGGTATCCATTGTACAGTACTTCACTTGTATTTACAGTTAGTTTGAAATGTCGTAAACTAAACACAGCCACGAATATTTCAGGAGCTAGTTTTTCAATGTCATATCCAAGCACATCAGTGCATAGTTCATGTCTTTCCTCCATCCATACATCTTCACAAAAAACACTGCCAAAGTTAGATGTTTATTAAAAGCATAATAATTTTCATCTAACCATTTGCTAAAATTCTTTATTCTAACAAGAATTCACGTGAGTCAGCTACACTGCTGAAGAGTGGAAAACAGCAGAAGGTCAAAAAGTAAACAGCATAATTTAAAGAGAAAGCTCAAACATTGAATACATTTCTAAATACAGAAGTGACTGCAATTCAGTTGCTATAAAACTCTATTTGAATTAACTCTCCTGCATTGATCCTCTGTCATCTTCATGTTTGTGTTTATCTAAGTTAAAATTGCAAGCTCTCTGGGACAAGGACTTTTAAAATCTCTGTCATGTAATCCTGGTACGTAGGGTCCGATGGGAACAAAACCTAAGGGATAAAGGAGTTCAGGAGAGCTGGCAATTTCTCAAGGAGATAATATTAAACGCACAACTGCCAATTATCCCGATGTAAGGAAATATAGGATGAATAGTAAGAGGCCAACATGACTCCATCAGGAGCTCTTTAATGACCTGAAAATAAAAAAGAAATCCCACAAAAGGTGAAAAATGGACAAATTACTAAGGAGGAGTACAGAAGAATAGCACAAGCACGTAGGGACAAAATCAGAAAGGCTAAGGCACAAAATTAGTTGCACCTAACAGGGGACATAAAAGGTAGTAACAAATGGTATTGTAAGTATATTAGGAGCAAGAGAAAGATGAAGGAAAGTGTAGGTCCTCCACTTAGCAGGGAAGGAGAACAAATAATTAAGGACAACAAGGCGGCTGAGGTATTTAATACCTTTTCACTAAAAAGGTTAATAGCGACCATATACTCAACGCAATTAATATTAACAAAATGGGGGAAGGAACATAAGTCAAAATGTGGAAAAAACAGGTTAAAGAATATTTAGATAAAGAGAACTTGAGAAGGGCGAACATATTTCCTATTGTTAAAAAGGGTGGGGGGGGAAGAGGGGCCTGGGGAATTATAGACCAGGCAGCCTAACTTTGACACCTGGATAGATACTGGGAAAAAAAAGATCAATCAATTAGTAAGCACCTAAAAGATACGAGGAATAGCTAGGGTTATAAGTAATAGCAAACATGGATTTGTCAATAACAAATAATTTAGACACCAAGAGTCTAAATCCCACTGGCTGTTGACGAGATTTAGAGTCCTAAGTGCCTATATCCCTTCTGAAAATGATATTTAAGCTCCTAAATCAGTTAGGCATTGTGACAGCAAAGCAATGCCTAAATAACTTCAAAAAAAAAAAAATGGGCCTCAGTGCTTTATGTCTACACTGGCACTTACTGCGGTATAACTTATGTAGCTCAGGGGTGTGAAAAAACAAACACCCCTGAGCAGCGTCGGTGTAGACAGCGCTATGTCAGTGGGTGAGCTTCTCCCGCTGACATAGCTACGCCACTCATGGGGCTGGAGCAGTAAAGCCGACAGGAGAGCTCTCTTCCTGACGGCTTAGAGAGCTTACAGTGGCATCACTGCAGCTCCTCTGCTGTAAACTCTCTAGTGTAGCCGTAGCAGTTGAGTCAGTAGCATGAAGCACTAACAACATCAAAGCAACTCCATATTAACACAGAATAGAAAGGAACTAAATACAGAGAAAAGAACGTCAAATGCTTTTAATGCAAGGACATGGAAAAAGTGTAGTCACAGGAGAAACGAAAGGATGGAAACCTCTTATAATAATGAAGTCTTTTTCACTGCTTCCCCCATCCTCTCCCCTCCCCCGCAAAGGCTCCTACTAACAGAACAACTTCACTGTAAATGGAGATTCACTGTAGGCAGGTTCTACTGTAATTCCATTCTAGTTTAAATGTTTGAAAGAAAACTTGAGAGGCAGAGAGAAAGACTGATGAAAATAAGATTTATTGGTACAACTTTCTGTCTTGGATTGTTGCCTTTTTCATATTTTTACTCAATTAGTAGCCTCACTATTACTTTGTAGTCTAGTTTCTTAACCAGGAACCATATAAACAAAGATTTAAAAAGTAAGGAATCTAATGACTCAGTCCAGTGGCTTTTTATCTGCAATGAACCTCTGAGTTGGCAAGTGCAGCAAATGTGCCCACCACTTATCACTGCTGCCCCCTGTTCTCTCTTTTATGGTCCATCAGCCATGAATAACTTGACATTTCACATCATTCTGTGTTGTCCACACAAAATGATGAACGAGTGAAAGCTTCAATGTGCTTTAGTGTTTTAAAAAGGGGTGAGAAATCGCACACAAAAAACAATGCCATTACTGTGAGGCATATTTCAATCCTTACTGGAAAACTATCAATTTGTATTTTTTGTCCAGACAATATAAGCGTTTAATTAGTTTGTGGTTTCCAAGTTGAAACATTAGATTTTTTTTAAAGTTTACCAAGTTGACATTTCTCATTTAGAATAGGTAGCTAATGCAATGATGATGTAGATTGTACAATCAGAATTATTACTTTTTTAAATACTAAAACTGCACCCAACAACAACAACAAAAATTTATGGTGTATGCACAATGTTAGATATACAAAACCACAGTAAAAGATTATTTAGTTTGCAAAACAAAGCACTCACAAGTTAGGAAATGCCAAACTTAAGAATTGCCCATGCAACCTTAATTCTGCCCCCTTGTGTGTCTACCCTTTGCACTGAAAGAGACAGGCATCCAATGAAAAAAATACCATGTGATCATGTAATTAAAAATGGTCTTATAATGCAATCTTAAATCTGGTATTTCCTCACTTTCAAGTACTGGACTTTGTATTAAAAAAAAAAAAAAAGAGGTAAAGGTAAAAAAAATTATTTAGGTTACAATTTCTTAGGTTTTTGAAATCGATTGGAATCCAGAACCTTCAGCACTGCGTCACAGGGTAGGTCTACACTTACCTCCGAGTCCGGCGGTAAGCAATCTATCTTCTGGGATCGATTTATTGCGTCTTGTCTAGACGCGATAAATCGATCCTGGAAGTGCTTGCAGTTGACACCGGTACTCCAGCTCGGCGAGAGGAGTACGTGGCATTGACGGGGGAGCCTGCCTGCCGCGTCTGGACCCGCAGTAAGTTCGAACTAAGGTACTTCGAATTCAATTTGCGTACCTTAGTTCGAAGTGGGGGGTTAGTGTGGACCAGGCCACAGACTTCTATCACTTGAACTACGGAAATAACTACATTACTTAGCAATAGAGGAAGGCTATTATCCCAGAATGGAGCATGGGGCTCAGGGTGTGCTAGGTCCAGGGATGACTGAGGGGAGCCCAATCTGGCTCTCCCTTCCCCAAACCATGGAGTTGGGGGAGCTCCTGACCCATGTGATAGCCCCAGAGGGCAGGGATGGACCACTGGGGCAACAGGCTGTGTCAGGGGTGGGAGTGGGGGTAGGAGAGAGAGCCTGACTTAGCTCTCCTTCCATGACCGCCCACTCTAATGCTACCTGAATGGAATTCCATGGGACAAGAAAAAGTCATCTCTCTAGCCCCAGGGTGTTGTCCGTGTTGAATTTCAAAGGCCTGTTCCAAACAATGGAGGTGCTAGAGAGTTTCGTAAAGTTACAAGAATCTTTTATAATTGAAAGTATTATGCAACCTAAATATAGAATAAATATAAAATCTCTGAAGATTCTATCCTCACTGAGCATATCGCAGCTCTTACATGTGACTGGACTCCTCTCCTGTGGTCCCAATGACTCAATCCTGCTGGCACCTAACCAGTGTAGGAAAGGAAGCCTTCTGATTTGAATGCAGATTGGACAAAAACTGGACCAGGGAGGAGGGAAAGGAGCAGACTTGCACAAAGAGTCTGGATAGAGTGGGACTTGGAAGGGGGGGAATTATGACTGGATGCTGGAGACTGGGACTAGCTGGGCAAGGAGACGAGGAGCCAGTAAAGGAAACATGGGGTGGAGACCCTGGGAGCTGGTGAGGGAAACTGGAGACAGGGGGAGACTGGGAACTACTTGGCTAGGCAAACGAACACTGAGATGGGATGAGGACTGTGGTTCATGGGGAGAGCTGAGGCTTGCTGAACCAAGATACTGGGACAAAAAGCCAGGGATATATATGAGAGAGAGAGAGAGAGAGAGAGATATTGGATGAGGAGCCCAGGAAGGGACAGTGGAACCCAGAGCTAACTGGGGGGGGGGGGGGGGCGCAAGGAGAGACAGACTGGACAAAAAGCTAGGAGGTGGGACTGCTTAAGCTAGAAGACTGGACTTCGGTATGCGAAAGGGGGGCACTGGGAACCGGACAGCAAACAGAGGGGGGGAAGCTAGAACTGATTAGGCAAGGAGAATGACACTGGAATGAGAAGCAGAAGCTATGTAGGGAAGAATGGGATTAGCATAAGAAGCCTGAGCTGGAGAGAGACAGGAGTGGGGGAGGGCCAGATTAGAGGAGACGGGGCAGAAAAGGTCAAGCTTGACAGAAATGAGCAAAAGAGTCTGTGCCCACTAGAGAACTTTCCCCTTCAGAGCCAGGAATGGAACCCAAGATTCCTGAGTCTCACTATTCCTCTGCGGTCAGACAATATCTGTGAAACCCACGGCAAAGTGTGTGTCTCATCCCCTTCTAGTGCTGGGCCCCATATAAGATGACAACCTACTACTGCTATCAGTTACTCTGTTAGCTCAAGTGGCAGGAGTCTATGTGGTGGATCTAAAGATTACAACTCTACCAATGAGCCAAGTGAGTGTCAATATAATCCCACATGATGGAATTTCTGTTTTTCAGTTTGCTTTTTTTAAATCCTAGGAAATTGTACACACAAACTATTAAAAGAACGTTAAGGTGCAAAGTCAACCAGTAAAAAAAAAAATATAAATAAATCTGAAAATCCCAGAATTAAGGTTGCACAGACAACTTTAATTCAGCCCCCATGTGTGTAAGCGTTATGATACAGGTTTTAATTACATGATCACATACTATTTTTCCACAGGATGCTTGTCTCATTCAGTGTACAGCAGTGGCTCTCAAACTTTTTTACTGGTGACCCCTTTCACATAGCAAGCCTCTGAGTGCGACCCCCCTTATAAATTAACACCATTTTTTATATATTTAACACCATTATAAATGCCGGAGGCAAAGCAGGATTTGGGATGGAGGTTGACAGCTCGCAACCCCCCATGTAATAACCTTGCGACCCCCTGAGGGGTCCTGACCCCCAGTTTGAGAACTGCTGGTGTACAGGATGTACTTGCTCTAGGGATGAATTAGGGTTGTGGAGTAAAAGAGGCTGTTGTCTGTAGGACCTTTCCATTCATAGCAGAAGCTGGAATATATGTAGACTGTGTAGAATATGTACAGATAAATTAATGCTCGTGAAGCACTCAGATACTATAGTGATGAGCACCATACAAGAGCCCATGAGGAAATAAATAATTGTATTTCCATAGAAGGGTTTGAATAATACACAGTAAATAAAGCCTAGACTCTCACATTGAACCATGAGCATAAAACAAAATAGTGCAGGGTGGCTCATTAATTGAGCACTGTCCATCCTGTGTACTAAATGAAGCTGGGATCCTGTGGGGGAAAAAAATGGTATGCAATCATGTAATTGAAGACTATCATAATGCATATGCACCAGAGGATGAATTTAAGATTGCTTGTGCAACCTTAATACTGCGATTTCCTAACTTTTGAGTTCTTGATTTCATAACCCTAATGTCTTTAATATATTTATTGCATGTAATATGTAATAAAACTGGGGTTTTTTTGTAAGTTATCTTTCCACTTGTTACAGATTTTTGGGTAAGAAGATGGGAGAAAGGTACTTTTAAAGACTAGCCCACCATTTCTCTCATATACCTCACAAGATCAAGCAAATATTGCAGGCTTCTCACTAATTAGATCTAAATATCTGTACCAATCATCATTACAAGAAAATAATTAAATTACCTTCTGCTATATGCATCTTGAAATTGGCTGCTGAGAGATCATGCATTCCCTGTTTAGGTTCCGGAAGTTTTGGTGGTTGCAGATCAGATTCTTGCTCCTATTAAAAAAGAAACAAAAGTAATTACTATTTCTTATGTAACTGATATACACTAAATGAATTGTATGGCAATTTGTCTGTCTTACATAGTGCTCCATGTGTAATGCTTCCATGTGGCAGTGTAAATGGAGACAATCCCCATTTGTCAATTTTCAAATTCCCAAAAATATTTCCTACTCCATCTTTATTCTGTATCAAGGTCTGTGTCAAGTGGACACTAATAAGCAGTTATTTGAAATTGACATGTGAGTCTATTATACAGAAAGCAACTATCTCAGTTACTGGGCTAACTGCACCAGGTCTTTCCTCCTGGTGATCCACGATCCTGGTCTCTTCAAGTGTACCTTCCCATCCCCTCAAACCTCCAACTATCACCTGACCTGGGGGAGAACCACAGGATTCTCCCACTCTCAAATTAGGCCCTGGCTGCAGTTCCCAGTGTATCAAATGTGTTACCTCAGCAGATCTGACTTGGGCTCAGATCCTGCAGTTCTGTTCCCTCAGGGCACAATAAGAGGGGCAGTCAGCTTCTTTAAAGCAAAGTATTATTTATACAGAAAAAGCATATTGTTTTTAAGAGATGTTTTGTCTGATAAGCCAGCCTATGCATATGCCTGTTTTCCCCTAAGGCTTATCATTACCTGGACATGAGAAGGTCCATCTCCTTCAGATTCCTGCACAGAGACTGCCTTCCAGCTTCTCTCTCTGTCAGAGCTCACTGACAATTGACTCTCAACCCCCTCTTTTCCTGAAAAGTCCTTTTTAACTATTTACCGTACTTTTGCTCTGTAGCTCCCAGTCTGGCAAGAAAGGAGGGTCACTTCAGACTGGAGCCTGGAAGTATGCCATATAGTCCTGTAATTCCCATCCCAAGTGTCTGGATGTAGGTTGCTCATGTGAAGATCCATTGCACTGCCTTCCTGTTTGTTCTTCCCACAGTCCCCTATTAAGCTACATCAACAACTAGCTTAATACAGGAAAGATTTACAATTCAATATACAATAATTCTCCTTGAGTGACCAGATCACATAACGCCTTTATAGAACTAGAACATCTCAACCCTCTTAGATTATTACACAGTAGCTCCTACACTATTTATAAAACATTACTACTAGGGCTACAGGTTTGTCATGGCAGGAAAAAAAGTCACAATGTGATTTTCCCGTTTGTCTGTGACTTATGTGTGTGTCCAGGACTCACCTGTGGAGGCTCCTGTCCCATGTGGCTGGGCCTGGCTTTCTGCACCAGACATTGCGACCAGGTGCATGGGGTCACAATGCCACTCAGGCTTGACTCCTACGTCATGACAGGGCACAGGCCGAACATGAATGGCATTGCAACCATGCCCACATGGTCACAACACATCGAGCAGGGAGCCAGTCCCAGTCCCAAAGGACATAGGAGCCGCCATTGCCCATGCCTGAGGTGAGTGCGGGCTTCCTCTCAACTCTGGGACCCAGCCCCACAGGATACAGGAGCTGCCTGTGTCTGGGGTGAGTGTGTAGGGCAGGCTTGCTCTCCAGCCCCAAGCTTACCCCTCACTCCTTAGACCCTGTCTCTGTACCAGGCTGGGATTAGGGTTGTGTTATGGGGGCAGAGGGTGCAGATGTGGGTAGTCTGTGCCCCCTCACTTGTCAGGGCTTTTTTTTTTTTTTTTTTTTTAAATAAATAAAAAAAAAAAAATCACAGAGCAGTCACCAAACCAGTGACTTTTTCTAATAAGATTACCATGACTGCTCTGTGATTTTTGATTTTTTTTTTTTTAAATGCAGTGACAAATCTGCAGCCCTAATTATCACATATCAGGCCCACTCCTGTCACAGAAACCACATGTGCCATCACATAAATTTATGAGGTCTTTCAGCTATCTATAATTTACAAGCTATTCAAGACTCCACTTTGAGCACTCTTTCCCAATCCCACACAACCAGCAATATTAGAAAAGGAGCAAACTAGAACTTAGCCATCTTATAACTAAGCTGCAACAGTCACAAACGTTAAGTCAGTCACTTAACAGAAAAAAGACACTTTTCTAGGAACTAGCTCAGAGCTGAAAAAAACATTACTAGAAACTACACTGCTAAAACTTCTTTGCATCTGATGTTTAAATTTTTAAAAGATACATTAGCATGGATCTTGTTTAAGCAGAACTGTGTATTTTTAATCAACTGAGATCAGCAATCATTGTGGCTTTGTCTTGACTAGGAAAAGTGCTTAAGTTTACACCAGTCTCATCTAATATGCTAGATGAGCCAGATCTAAACTCAAGCTTTTGCCTTGTGTAGATATAGGGTAACACATTGTAACTCGATTTTGCTGGTTGAGTTGTAGCCTTAACTCCTCTCTAAACCAGTGGTTCTCAAAGCTGGTCCGCCGCTTGTTCAGGGAAAGCCCCTGGCGGGCCCGGACGGTTTGTTTACCTGCCACGTCCGCAGGTTCGGCCGATCGCGGCTCCCACTGGCCGCAGTTCGCCGCTCCAGGCCAATGGGGGCTGCGGGAAGTGGCGTGGGCCGAGGGATGTGCTGGCCACCCCATTGGCCTGGAGCGGCGAACCACGGCCAGTGGGAGCCGCGATCGGCCGAACCTGCGGACGCGGCAGGTAAACAAACCGGCCCGGCCCGCCAGGGGATTTCCCTGAACAAGCGGCGGACACTGCTCTAAACTACGGCATGACCAGCTAATAATTGTTGCCCCGCATCTACATTAGGAAAAAGACTGTTTATGCTGGTCTTACCTAGCTTGTATTAGCTAAACCACTTTTCCTAGTCAAGACAAAGTACTTGTGGCCCATACTTGTTAACTGAACTTGTACCAGGACATCCCATCTTAAATGTCAAGAGGCTAATACTTCCTTGAAATAAGATTATGAATTTTGGTTTTAAATACAGGAAACAAAGGGCAAGCCAAAGGATGCCAGTTTTAATCACGGGTTTGACGGCTATTTGGCCACTGTTCCAGTTTGTCATCATCATCCAATTTTTATTCTTACAAGATTTTCCTCTTGGAAAGCAAAACCTAACCCCTATAGTTCAAGAAATCAGTCTGACTCTGGAAGAAGGGAATATTTCCTGTTCACTTACAGCTGGTTCCTCATTTAGTGTCTGCAACATCCAGCTTTCCAGTGCCTGGAAGTCTCTAGGACCCTGGTATTTCACAGGTTCTTGGCCTGGTTTAAGCAGCTTTAGGCTGAAACATTAAAACAGTACGAAGAGGTAAGGCAAAACTTTTCAAATAGATACAAACAAGAAACATTCTTTGTAAATAAATGAACTTTTTGCTGATATCATAACTGAGCTCAGAGCATACTCAGTCCTCAAGCTTATCATTAAAATCAAACATTCCCTGGATTTCCATGATGCAGAACTGGGCCCTGTAACTAACCAGAACTCTGTTCTTCTCCTTTAAACTTAGCACAGATAGAAATACCATATTTGGTGTGAACATTCCAAGATGTCCTTAGATTAACATACAATGGTGAATAAAATGCTAGAAAGAATAATTCAAAGATTAATCCCTGTTTATGCTTCTGAATCCTATTTTCCAGTTTACCAAAAAAGCATCAGTTAATTTTTTTCAGTATGCATAAAAACAAAAAGCTTATGTTCCAGGAATCTCTCTACACTTTTTTGTGCCATGCCAAATATGCATGTCCTTGATCACATGCCACTTCTCATGCTGTATTAAACTGATTAAAAGTAGCTTAAAGCAGATGAACAAGGTGAGAAAATAGGTGAGAGTTGCAAAGACAGTCTTTCTGATTATATAATATATACTTGCTGTAAAATCTGTTTAACAAAATACCTAAATCTTTTCCCACTAAATATATGTATAACTTAAAACTGGAAATCATATTTGTTTAAATACTGGAATTTTAAAGGAATACCATCAAATTGAGAGGTCTTTTTTTTTTTTTTTTTTTTTAAAAGTGAGTTAAAATTCATTTCAGTTATTACACCTGTCCTTGACTTCCCTTGCTAATTTTTGTGGTTTTACCACCACATTTTTCTAAATGTTTCTCTCCTGTTTTTCTCTGCAGAGCTCTTATAACTTAAAAAAAAAACACTATGCAAGAGTGTTTTTAAAAGCACAATTCATACAAATTAAAATAAGAAAAAATCCTCCCTTTATCGCTTTCATTTATAGTATTGTACATTGCTTGTACAATAGTAGGTTAAAAAACATTCAGAAAGGTGTGTGGTTTTTAAGTTGATATTGTCCCTTTAAGAAGTCAACAAAAAATAAAGAAAAGAACTATGAAATCTGAATTGCTTATCTCTCCCTTTCATACATCTTCTGATAACAGTTTGGAGTAGAATCTAACAGAAATCAAGAAGTTAGCTTAAATGATCCTACAGGCGTAGTAGCACCTCTATTATTTTATTAAGATGAGGTTCAGTTCCCCCCCCCCCACTTAGATCTGTATATCCAATCTCTTTGTTTTGTATGAAAATAACAGCATATCTTCCTCCCCAACTGTACAGTATACAACCAATATGTAAAGACTGAATTTCCTGAGGATTTTCAACTAAATCTGTTATTTAGTTAGAGTTAAAATTAATTTTAAAATCAGACCTTTAAAAATTTCATCATGTGACCCTGTGGAGAATGAGGGAGATACCTGTATTACAGGGATTTGTATGCATATATGTACCTCAGTTTACCTGCTTGATAGTATTCTGTTTGGAGACCAAGCAGGAAATTAAGCAATGGTCAGAGATAAGACAACTAGAGGTAAACAACATCGAGGGAGCTAAGGGAACAATAGCTGGTCTAGTAATAGAGAAGATGCTCTTTCCAGGCTACCCAAAAGTGACAGAGCTGTTTTACCAAAGCCAGAGCCTAGAGATACAAAAGACCATAAACAGTTAAAAGCACACACTGGAAAAAAGGAAGGGGAGGAGGGGAGATACTGAGAGAGAGAGAATCCAGCAACATCGTTTGTCAGCATAATGACCCAAAGATCCATTCCTAGAGTAGTTAAACCGCAGTGCTGCACCCTTGACAGAGGTGAAGGAAGCACAGCCTTTCCCTCGAGAGGTGCACTCAAGAGAGTCTGAAAAGGGGCTTAAGGCACAACTCACCCTGTAATTATGAACAAGCCTTTTATTAACAAATCGCTGGTTTATCATTCACATTTTCTTTGTAGATAAAGCCCAGTACCAGCTATCCTCAAAGGCACAATTTTTTTCTTCTATCTTACCCATTATAATTAGTACTTACTGACTCAAAATGGCTGCCATTTTCCATAACTCACAAAAGGACTGAATGAGCCAATGATTGTGAAGTTACTCATGTCCTCAGTAAAGATAATCACCATTTTTCTAGTGGGGAAGTGATGGTGCACCTAATAAAAATGCCCACTACTTCTTATTGTTTCCACTGGGACTGAAGCTGCTCCCAGGGAACAGAACTCCCATTTCAATAAGCACTTTCCTAGCATACCTCTCAACCTTCAAACCTGCCAATTTGCGACAAAAGCCATTGTAATGTGTGAAAAATGACTGAAACGTTGAACAGTGTTTTGTTGTACGTCACAGCATAATTGAGAGATTTTTTTTTTTTAATCTTTAAGGATATTTTCTCATTTAAAAGAGAGCATGGGAAAAACAGGAATTCTATTCTGTGCAACCATTAAGACATATACCAGTGATGGGCAACCTGTGGCCTGCATGCGGCCCGTGAGGGTAATTTACTGACAGGCCGCGAGACAGTTTATTTACATTTGCACGGCCGCCTGCAGCTTCCAGTGGCCGCGGTTTGCCGTTCCCAGCCAATGGGAGTAGCGGGAAGTGGCATGGGCTAGCAGCAGCTTGCCCACCACTGACATACACCCTTCCTCAATGGTCATCATGAAAGTTTGACTTTCAGATCCCCAATCCAGACCTCTACAGCTACAGGAATAATACCTTTGCAAATATTATATTGACGTATGTGCACAGGTTGAGCGTGCATATGTTATGTGTTTATGGGGCAAGCATGAGGCCATAACTAAGGTTGTGTGGGAAGAAGAGATTAATGGTTGTTTGGCATGTATTTACTTTATCACTTGGAGGAAGAAGGCAGTTCTTTGTCCTAATGTGGAATCTGTCAGTGTCTTTGGAAACATGCTGTATGGCTATTAGGATTAGGGTTATTAGATGTCCCATAATTTGTTTCCATGCTTTTTAAGGATTGTGTGTGGGGCAGAGGAGGGGTGGTAGAAGATAGCAAACCTGCCCAAGCTTAATCCAGTTCCCTTTTAAATGAATGTTTTGTTTATGGAATGGAATCTGCCTTGAATTTTGTGTACCACAGATTTACAAGGAATTAGGCACCATCTTATTGGTGTGTCCTATATGCAGAATTAGAACCCTGTAGGTATATTGTTCTCTCTCCTTGTGCCAACACTGAAAGCTGAAATCTTGTCCTGCCAGTCTTGATCACATACATTTTATTAGATTCGTATGTCAAAGTTAGCTCGGACCTAACTCATCTTTGTGCCAACTGCTATTAGACTTTTCTCTATTGCCCCATTATTTCCAAGATTACAGTTCCAAATTTATTGTATTAATATTTACTGCAATTCCTACCCCCTAATTAAAATGCTCTGGCAGTGAGGTGGTGATGACAAACTCCATTCAGAAAGAGGGAATAGTCAATTGTTAGAAGGCACTGATAAGGTATAAGGTCTGTATTAATACGAACTACAAAAACAGTAAACTATTTTTAACCTCTGCTGATCCATCTTCATAAATATCAATATTTGTGCAACTGACTAGGCAGAGCAGTGAATTGTTATGATGTTTCACCTCTTGAGAAAAGTTAGTATTTGGACCCTAAGGTTTGACCATAAGCTTTTGGGGTCTCTATGGGTACATCTACATAGCAAAAAAAAAAAAAAAACGCAACAGCAGGTTTCGAAGCCTGGGTCAACTGACTCAGGATTACACAGCAGGGCTAAAAATAGCAGTGTAGAAGTTTGGGCTCAGGCTGGAGCTTGGGCTCTGAAACCCAGCAAGTGGGGAGGGCTCAGAGCCCAGGCTTCAGCCCAAGCATGTACACTGACATTTTTAGCCCTGCAACACAAGCCCAAGTCAGTTGACCCTGACTCTGAAACTTGCTGCCTTAGGTTTTGGGGTTTTTTTGCTGTGTAGACATACCCTACCATTGTAGGACATTTATTCACAAAGCTACACAACTGACAATCTGCTAAAGAGAGGTCCAGCACTAGGCTAGCAGGAGTGCTGGAGTTTGGACTGATGTGCTTTAAGCAAAGGCTTGTTTATCTGGTAGAAATTCCAGCTCACATTCTTTTCCTGCAGCTCAGAGGCAAGATGCGAGCCTTCTCACCAAGACCTTACCCTGGCCCTTACTGGTGGAACCCGCTCACCCTCATCTATCATAATAGGAAAGGTTTAAAAGATAATAGGTTTAGTGCTCTAGTTCATAAGTAGCTGCTAAGTTTTTCAAGCCCTGTTAAAGCAAAACCATGTACAGAAACTTGCACAGTGCCAGCATCAATATGTGCCTGGCTTTAGATGGTGTTATTAATCTATCAGATTTATGAGCACCAGATTCACACAAAAGTTTGAGACTATTTATACACACTACACTGGTTGTGCTATATACAGTTAGATAACTGAAATTATTTTAAAGTAGTTAAAATAGTTCTGAACTAGTACTGTACTGCTGAATGTTACTTACCATCTCAAAGATAAGTTCTCGGGGGGGGGGGGGGGAAGGGGGGGAGAGCCTATTCTAAACTTTGTTTAAACATAGCCATCTTCCAAGTTGTAAAAAAAGAGACATTATAGCTCATCTTGTCTTGGCAACATGATGAGAGCTTAAATTTATCTTCTAAAGACTGAAGAGCTATAAAGGAAACCACCAAAAATCATAACTTAGAAGTTGGTCTCAACAAATTGGCAGAGGACTGTGGAAAAACATACAAAATAATAGAAGCACATATCCTTTTGTACTTACGTGGGGTATCCTCTGATTCCAAATTCAGAGCAGAGTGGAATATCTATAGTGCAATCCACTTTTACAACATAGACTGATGGATTTTCCATGTTGTTGTATTTGTCTCCCAGATCATTCCAAGTTGGTTGCAGACGTTGACAGTGTCCACACCTACAACAAGATGAGCAAAAGATAAAATAAATTTCAGTAATAAGGTCACTGTTCTGATTTGTATGCATGCTCTATATTTAACAAATTTAGGTTTAAATGTAAATATGAAGACTAGATATGAATGAATCTATGGGAAAAGTATATATACACATGGGTGGGATCTGATGTATTTGAAACATGTTAGAGGAATGAAAAATCAGAAACCTCTTCCATATAAAAACAGACTGTGTTAAGCAACAGTTAATACTGTAGAGTTGCCTTTTATTGTAGAAGGCTAACCTTGTAAGCAGTTTTGACACAAAATTCACACAAAAAAATCTAACAACAGCCCTGACGGTTAGAGAAGTACTTTTGCATTACAAAGTCTTGCCAGGTTCATTGTAAAAGACTATTACATTAATGAGGATACTGAAAAGAGAGCACTCAGCTTCTCAACTTTCTAAGAACACCATGAGAGGATGCCTGGTGTTCTTTATGTTTTTACACATTTGGAAGCACCATGTTTTTACGTGTCTGCTAAGGAGGTAATGGTTTGTACTCTTTTTATAAGGTCACTTGTGTTTACATGTAATATCAAAATTGTGACTCATGGGACCCATGGAATACCTAAATCAGTGAAGTAGAACAGTTCTGTTTCAAAGTCCTGAAGAGATGCTAATCTTAATATGTTATAAACAGGAACAAGTGCCTTTGCATAGTGATATCCTATGAGTCTCAAAATATTCAACATACGCACACAAAGTAAGGTGACTTAAAACAGGTTTCAGAACAAATAATTGCTATTTTGCTTCTCTCAAAGGAATAGTTAATTATTCAAGTAATCTTTCCCACTGCTTGGCATCCCATAGCATACTAATTCAAATTTAAAGTGTTAGAAATGTTCAGCCAATCAAGAGATTTACCAGTTCTTGAAAACACCATTCCAATTCCCCCAAAACTGAAAATCAGATCTCATACTATTGGCAAATACAAACTGGTGTTGTCAAAAACACTAACACCAGAAATATGGTAAACTATTTAAAGGAACCAATGTCAACTTATCTTGAATGGCCGTTCTTGCTGTTCCTGATTTTTACAGGCATTAAAAAAATGTCATTAGATTAATTAAAATATCCTCAACTTTGTTTGCTCTTGACAAGTCCTGGAAAGTCTACTTTTTATGCAACAATTAACACGACAATAAGGAAGTTTGCAGGAAGTTACCTCTTACTCCCTACAGAACTCCCATTTAAAAAACAATCCCATTTACAAGAAAGAAATATTTTTAGACGGTTTGCAAATTAGTCTCATGTAATCAGACTTGGTATATATATTTGTGTATATGAGACAGTTTTACATTTTAAATATTTTTCCTTCCATTCAACTTACAGTGCACCTTGCCTGCGTCATAAGGTTCTGTTATAACAAACTGATTTAAACCTAGGCTCTCCACTATACTACTAAAAACTCCTCGTACAATTACATATTCTGAAACATTGCTTGTGATAGCTAAATGGCATGGTGAAGTAGTTTTCAAGATTTTCACCTCTGGATACCTGTTTTCACCTCTTGACTAAGTTGGGTCTCAAGTGAAAATTGGGAAAGAAGAGAGAAATGTCTCATCCTAGTCTAGTTGATATTTGTACAAAAAAAAAATCACGAAGCCACCACACTACCTGGGATGATTAGAAGTTGATGAGAGGACCTCAGGCAGGATTAGAAAGTATGAGGTAGTTAGTGAATCAGTTCAGTTGCACAAAAGAGCACCAGGAGCCATTTACATTGTGTTTTGCTCTAACTGGTACTTATGAAAACCTTTATTTTCATGAACACCAAATGAACACCTGACTTTTGGAGGAATGATACAATCGCTTTTTACTGCAAAACATAGTAGATAATCCAGAATTTAACAAGGTTAAAGAACTCTAACCAGCCTCTATGCAAACCTCAAATTTCAAATTACCTTTGCCTACATGTTACATTTAAATCTACTGTTTTTGGTTGTGTGCATTTCAGCCAGATGGCAGAAATCTTATTGAACATCAAGATACAAGACCAACACGGTACAATTAAAGAAAACTCCATCATCAATAAATCTAGTCAGGGTTGATTTGATTTAAATCACTAGTCAGGAAGACTCGATTTAATCATGGTTTTCAATATAAAAGTACATTCTTGCTGGTTGTTATAACCTTAATACATGTTCTTCACAACTCAGATAGATGTAGGTTTCATTTTTAGAAGGTACACACTATAAACAATGATTCATTTTGAAAACTTTTCAGATTAGTATTACACCTATATCAGAAAATGAATGATTGTTTGGTTATTTCGTTTACCAAAGGTAACTGAAACAGATATTTTATGAAGTCACTGGAAGGTGAATTATCTCCAATTCAACAGGTTAATCATTAATATTTGGAGGATTTTCTTGCCATGCTGTATTAGGAGGAGAACATCACCAGACAGACATTTAAATTGTTTTATTTAACTAAAACAACAATGTTAAGTATTTTAGATTTTTTTCTTCAACAGCAAACATATATTATTTTAACAAAACAAGCATATGTCCCTCGCTTCTCACATTTATCTCCAGACTTCTTCTCCTTGTCCAGATCTATTCCGCCCCCAACAATCTTCCATTCGTTGAACTTTTTGAAACTTTGCACTTTTAGAGAGGTGTAAGAGATTAACTTTGTGTACACAAATTTGCAGAGGGACAATAGAGTTGAGGTCTGTTATTTCTCACCTCTATATATTATTTATTTATTTTAAAACACTTTTGCTGTTAACAAGCATGTTACCTCTGGAGACACAAATCCAGTTTGAGAACTAAAAGCATCTCTGATGGTATCTTCTAAACTAAGGACTGAGTCCCACTGGGTAGATAGAAAGATTAACCTAAATACTCTATACAAAAGCCCCTGGAACCCCATAAGATTGGGTCCCTAATCCATGAACTATTGTAACTCATTTACAAAACTTTTCTTAAACATTACATGAATATATTGTCTCATACTATAGAATTAGAATTTATAATCCCTATTCCATGATGAGATATCTTTGAGCTATAATGTATCTTAATTGAATCTATCTTTAGATAAAATGATTTTTGAGAAATAAACCTATCAAAAAAATCTGATTTTTTAAAACAATCATTGATTTTTATCCACTCTGAATCTAGTTACTTCAGACTTCAAAATAAACATAAGTGTCTATGTATATAACAGGCAACCAAGGCTATGTCTACACCACTGCGGTAAGTCAACCTAAGCTATGCAACTCCAGCTATGTGAATAATGTAGCTGGAGTCGATGTAACTTAGGTCAAGTTACTGCAGGGTCTACACCGCCGGGGTGGGGGTGAGATGGGGGAGGGGAGGGCGTGAAACTCTCCCGTCAATTTACCTTACTCTTCTCATCGGGGGTAGAGTACAGGGGTTGACTGGAGAGCGATCTGTTGGGTCTTTACTAGACCCGCTAAATCGACCACCGGCGGATCAATCTCAGAGTGTCAATCCTGGCTGTAGTGTAGATGTAGCCCAAGAAACTAACTTCTTTGTCGGACTAAAAAGGAAATTATAGGGGCTCTGTAGTCATCGAGACCCAAAAGTAGAATGTAATCCAAAATTTATTTTAAATACTCAATCTTTACCCAGAGAGACTGCTGCATCTCCATAGTTAACACTGTAACAAGGCTTCAATTAGAAGGCTAATTCTGGACTCAACTATCAAATAATCCAAAAAAGGTCTGACACTTCAAATGCCATATGAGGTTTGGTAATTAAGGGAGAATTTGAGTATGGAAATGTAGCAAAGGTATCCCAAACAACTTTAATTCTTCACTGTGCTTCCCCATTCTGTAAGGCAGTGGCTCTCAACCTTTCCAGACTACCCGTACTCCTTTCAGGAGTCTGATTTGTCTTGCGTACCCCCAAATTTCACCTCACTTAAAATCTACTTGCTTACAAAATCAGACATAAAAATACAAGTGTCACAGCACACGACTACTAAAAAATTGCTTACTTTCTCATTTTTACCATATAATAAATCAACTGGAATATAAATATTGTACTTGCATTTCAGTGTATAGTATATAGAGCAGTATAAACAAGTCATTGTATGAAATTTTAGTTTGTACTGACTTCGCTAGTGCTTTTTACGTAGCCTGTTGTAAAATTAGGCAAATATCTAGATGAGTTGATGTACCCCCTAGAAGACCTTGGTATACCCCTCGTTGAGAACCACGGCTGTAATCCATTGATTCGACACTGGCTTATGTTGTTTTTTTAGTGATGTACTCCCTTAGGTCTTCATCTAGTAAAGAATCAATCAGATAGGTTCAAGAATTTGTAAAACTGTGGAGTTTGACAGGATAACTTTTCTGTGGCTTTGAAGTTTATATTGAATGGTGTTGGCTGTTGAGTGTGTAAACACATTGTGGTTTCTTGACTATTACTGAGAAGGTTGGTTAGGTTTAGGACATGGTTTTGGTGGTCTGAAGAAGAGTAAGTAACATGATATTGGTATACCTAGCTCTTTGAGGAAGAGAATCTGCTCGTAAAGAGGACACTTGCATAGTGGGTGCCTAGTGCATTTATTAGTACTTCAAGTGTAAGATAGTACTGTGACAGTACTAGTAGTGTATGGCTCAATGTCACAAGTGCAAGGCATACAAGTGATAAGCCTATCTTATGAACGAATGGAAGGTGTACACAGATATAAGGACAGAGCTGATACTGTGTGAGGTAGTTAAACCTTGCATTCCCATAATTCTAAATGTTTGGGACTTGGAAAACAAAACAAAACAAAACCCCTACTTTTAATGTCTTTATTCCTAAATGCCTGAAGTTTGCTATGCGCTCCCCTTCGAAGTTACTTCAAAATTTCAATTTGTATAAAGGAAGGAGAAAGCAATGCTCAACTCTCAGTCAGTAAACCAAAATTGACCAAACAGTAGCTGTTCATACACACTGACAATCCAGTACAAGAAAGTAACATTATGGAGTTGGTTGATAAATTGTGGGCCCAAATTTACATCTACCTCTTTCCTGCTCTTCTCCAAATGTAACTGATTTTTTGACTACTGCAGCCTCAGGTTTTTTGGTTGCTGCAGCCTCATTATGACATGGAGTAGTGGTATCTCATTGATGGATTTTAATCATGCCTTGGTCAGATATTCCCATGAATTCTGAAATGCTTTTAGCACAGGTTGTAATATGAAGAAACAACATATGTCCAGTCAGAAAAGACCACAAATTCAAGAAAGCTTATCCTGATCAGTCTCATATTTATGTGGTCATATGTCTGTCATTTTCCTGCTGTATCACTGAGCATTGTGCTCTTAGTGCTACCACTGAAGATCACTCAGAAGTGTCAATTGGTCTAGACTGCTGCTGTTCACCTCCTATGTGGGCGGGGATGCTGTAAGCACAATTGTTACTCTCAATGCTCTGCAATGACTTGCCACTTGTTTACAAATGTAAATCAAAGTTCTAGTTATGATCTATAAGCCATTAAGAAGTCTGGCTTCTTGAAAAACTGCCCTTTCCCCTATATCCTATTACTGGAGGAGGGTAGGTTGAGAGCAACTGAAACGCTTCTGCTTTGTTCCTAAGTGTGAATTTTTTAAGACCCACATCACAACACTCTCAGTCCAAGGTCTGAATGTAGAATTCACTTCCTCATCTGGCTCACTAGAGCCAAGATCTGATGACCTCCAGAGAACAGTGAAAAATATCTGCTCAAGCTTTTGGCTAACATTTTTCTAAGTTGTTCAGGAGGGGGTCACTGAAATTACAAACAATAAGCCAAGAATGTAGCAGTTTGGCAGTGAAATTATGTGGGGTTTTTAATTGTTGATTTTAAAGCTGAGGCACTCAGATGCAATGGCAATGTGTACCATAAGATAATATGTATAAACAAATATTCTAAAATCAAGACATCACATTACACAGATGTTGCTCAATTCTCTGATTTAGCTGACTTGGTCTGATTTTGAACATTCAGTTGACTTGACAAATAATGTCAATTGACTGCCTATTATCTGATCATGGTAAAATATTGTCAAATATCCCAGCAAGAATGCCCTGATGTAGACAGCAGCCTATCTTTTGGATTTCACTGTAGTGCTATCTGTTAACACCTCTACTTAAATGTCTTGATCGCTCACTTCAGTATATGCTAATCCCACTTGTTGGGAAAAGGGTTAACTAATAGAAAGTTGAACATCTTGATTGACAGGAATCTTCTAGAACAAAGATCATATGTATGTGTATCTCTACTTGTATACCAGACCATCAATGCACATGGTGGTTTACAAAGCAAAACACAAGAGTTAAAAGGCACAGTTCTTGCCCTGAAAAAGCTTACAATCTAACCTGACTAGACAAATATACAGAAATTAACTCAGATGGGAGTGGGAGAGGAAGGCTCATGATCATTAAACCTCCTCCCCGAAAACAAAACAAAAAGATGCCAAGTCATTAAACTTCTCCCTTAACATACAAAAGTATCACAGCTATTAAATCCCCCCGATAACCCCCCTCAAAAAAAGCAAATGATCTACACTGAATGCCCATGTAAATAAACCCCCATGCCTCGACTCTTAACAAAAAGCCTCTTCATAATGCATCCCTCAAACACACACCCACATCCTCACTTGTTTCACATTTTTCTGAGTTACGTTTCTCAGTTACGTAACTTGTATTTTGTAATTAGGCATAAGTATCTATCTATGGCTAAGCCTATTGGAGACCAATAAGTCTTACTCTGTTTTGTGACTGCTGTTACTGTTCTAATAAACCAGTGGTTTAAAATATTTGACCATTTTTGACATTTGACAATATCTGACCAGTCAATTGATCAACCTTAATTGAGAGTGGGGACAAACATTATTTCCCCACAACTCTTCTTTGGAATCTCCCTGAAAGGAACATGCCAACCACGTAAAAGCAAATTCATTACCGCTACTAGGTCTTGCAGGTGGGTCAGTGGCACTCTGATCAAATGGCTGCTGATAGATCTTGTACAGGGGGTTCAGATCCTGAGAGATCATAAAGCAGTGTCAGGGGTTGAGACCAGACTGCCCTTTCCATATTGCTAAACTGAAGGAGGATCGCAGTATGGAAAATCTGAGAACCAACAATTTAGTAGTATCAAGAGGCACAACCTGACCAGTAGACAGACACCTACTGCTCTACGGAGACCACCAAGATGAATGCTATTTTCAGGTTATCTCCAGGTCAAAAGGCTCACTGATGAAGTAAAGTACTGACACCCTGTAGAGAGCTATGAATTGGCAAATGTTAACAACAAAATAAAGTCCAAAGTTTGCAAGCTTTAACCTCTAAGATAAACCCACTCACTGAAAATGTCAGTGTATCTAATATTTCTGTAATTGGCAGGTTTCTCCATACATGTTTGCCAATATGTCTACATAAGGATTTGGATGTAGAGGATGGCACAAGACCATATCTCACATGAATTAATCATGTGGTTAATCAAGAAGAAAGCCATTTGATGTCTGGAAAAGATCAATAACTCCAGACACAAAAAGGCATTTTTAAAAAGGAGGTCCTGAGATAAGACTGCCTATAATTATTATTTTGACTTCTACCTCCGAAGACTCCATAACAGAGTTCAGACATCCATTGCACCCCCAATTAAATGACTAGTAAGCCAAATATGAATACCCAAAAGGACTAAAATGAAATACAATGCGTCCCACTGAAGACATTCACAAGCAACAGATAACATTTATTACTTATATAGCTCTTTGTATTTTCAGAGTGCTGCACAAACATTAATACTCCCCAATATAACTCTGCAGAAGGTATTGTCTCTATTTTTCAGACGAGTAAAATGAGACAGACAGATAAGGGCCTGTTTTTTCAGAGATGCTGAGCACCCACAACTCCAAATAGAGTCAAGGGGAACTGTGGTTGCTCATCCCTGACTTGTCCAATGTTACACAGTGGTAAATTTGGGATTAGAATTTAGGAGTTCATGATACCAAAAAAGTGCTCTGGAACATGATGTATTTCTTCAGAACCACACACAAAACGCATGCCATTTACTTCGTTCGTATTCGTGGAGAAAGGAGGAAACAGAAAACCCACAGAATAATTAGAAGTCAGTTTTGGAAAACTTCATTTGGAAGCTCAGTCAGCTGCTGTCAACTCTATCAGCATGGTTTTTACTACACTTTTACATTAATCAGTAAAAGGAGTGAGGCTCCATCAGCCCTCTTTCAAAAGTGATTCAAGGAAACAGGATGCACACAAAAAGGGTTATTACACTGTCCTCTTAGGGCCTGTCTCCATGAGGATGAGAGGTGATTTTTTTAAAAGTGTTAGCTAACCTTAGGCCTGGTCTACACTACGACTTTAATTCGGATTTAGCTGCGTTAATCCGAATTAACCCTTCACCCGTCCACACTACAGAGCCAGTTAATTCGAATTAAAGGGCACTTAAAATCGATTTCTGTACTCCACCTCGACGAGCGGAGTAGAGCCTAAATCGATTTTGTTAATTCGAATTAGGGTTAGTGTGGCCGCACACCACCGAATTACTGTGTTTAAATTAATGGGGTAGTGTGGCCGCACACCACCGAATTAATGTGGTTAAAAACCGAATTAAGGTGCTTAGTGTGGCCGCGCACAATCGAATTTATACAACCTGTTTCCCAAATTCGAATTATCTAAATTCGGATTAATCCTGTAGTGTAGACATACCCTTAGTAACAGACTTTACTAAAAGCTAAGACAAGTCGAGAGGAAGGATGGCCCAGGGGCTAGTGTTAACCTGGAATTCAAAAAACCCAGATTCGATTCCTTTTTCTTCTACAGGCTTCCAGTGAGACCTTGGATAAGTCACTTCCCACATGGGCGCCCTGCTGAGCATTCAGAGCGCCCCACCGGGCCAGCTCTGCAGGTGAACTCCCCCTTGTGCAGACACCTCACCTGACCTCCCCGCGACTCGGCTCCCCCGTCCGTACCACGGGGACAGTAACACGCCCCGGCCTGGCGGGGCGGCTGCTGCTGAGAACAGACACGTTTAGGACTAGGAGGTACTGCTGGGGCCTGTGCTGAGGAAGGCCACGTAGGCACCGTGGGGGCGGGTTGTGCTGTGGCTTCCAGCCCTGGCCAGGCAGCACCGGGCCCGGCCCGCGGCAGCCCCCGCCCCTCCCGGCGAGCAGGGGCCCCAGTGTGTGTGTGGAGGGGCTGGGGGGCCGAGCTGTGTATCCTGGGCTCAGCGCCGGCACCTGCCCCAAGCCCGCCCGCGTGACCCCCGAGGAGCCGCCCCCAGCGGCCGCTGCCACGTCAGCGGGGAAACGCGCCGCCGCGCGCCCGGCCGGTTACCAGGGGGCGAAGAACATGACGAAGTGCGGGGCGCTCTGGGCGCCGTGGCGCAGCATCTCGGCGTTGTAACGGTGCCGCGCGTGCGGGTCCAGGTCCGGCTGCGGGTCCGCGTCGCCCCGCACCGGGGCCGCACACAGGAGGCCTCCGAGCAGCAGCAGCAGCCGCGCCGGGCCGGGGCGGGGGGAGGCGCCGCGGCACAGAGCAGCGGCCATGGCGGCGCGGAGAGACCCAGAGAGCGCGAGAGACAGAGAGAAGCCGGGCCACGTCCGCCGACCGCCTCCTTCCGTGCCGGCGCCAGCCTCCGCCCCTTGCCCGGCGCCTTCCGGCCACGCCTCCCCGGGGTCAAAGGGCACTGGGGGGGCCGCTCTGGGCACGAGAGAGTAACCCCCGATACCCCTCCTCCGCTCACTCTCCACCAGCTCCTGTAGCCGCCTCCCCCCACATCGCTATGCACTTCAGACACCCTCACTACCCGTCCCTGTGCTCTACCTCAGCACCCTCACCCCCTAGCTTTTCCTGTCTCACTGCACCCTCCGCTACTGCCCATCCATGTCCCCACCACTCTCTGTCAGGGAGATGGACTAGGCAGGCCGTAAACCTATTGGGGTTGAAGCGGCTGTGCTTTCCTGCTGATCACTTGTGGAAGCATCTAACAGTCCTTTTACATGAGTAAATAAGATGATGCAAAGATAGCCGCTCACGCACACTGCAGTGGGAGTGTAAATCTAGAAATTTTGCTAAATCACATAACTTTAAAAAAAGTTTCTTTGTGGAAATCCATGAAGAAAAGGTACATGTACCCTTAGCACCGCCTCCGTTAACAATGGGAATAAAGACAAGTAACAGTTGCCTGCTACATGGAGAAAACCAGCTTTAGATCTTTGCCCCGGAAAGAAAGGTCTGAAGTGCTCAGGTTCCTTTTCATAATCATGTGTCCCGTGACATTGGGACCAGAGACAATTACTGCCATTTAGCCCACAGGATTTTGGCCCATGTGCTCCTTTCTGCTTATGTGATACCGCATAGGGAGGCGATAGGAGGACCCTAGTAATATTAATTGGTGCTACGTATGAGAACACAGCCCACAGCGGCAAGTCTCCAAACCCACCTCAACATATTCATATTGTTTATACTGTTCATATTTAATATGCTAAAAATAGCTGTGTAGATACTAAGTATCAGGGGGTAGCCGTGTTAGTCTGTATCTACAAAAACAACAAGGAGTCTGGTGGCACCTTAAAGACTAACATATTTATTTGGGCATAAGCTTTCGTGGGTAAAAACCTCACTTCTTCAGATGCATAGAGTGAAAGTTACAGATGCAGGCATTATGATATAATAATATCTGTAACTTTCACTCTATGCATCTGAAGAAGTGAGGTTTTTACCCACGAAAGCTTATGCCTAAATAAATCTGTTAGTCTTTAAGGTGCCACCAGACTCCTTGTTGTTTGTGTAGATACTGACGCTCAAGGCTCACTGTTATAGGCTATATAAGTGTATGGGGAATGGCCGCTATGGAAGAGCTTTTGTTTTGTTTTGTTTTGACTTTCTGCAGTTGCTATGTAAGAGCTTTGCTCTACAAAGCTCGTGAGGGGTGTTGGGGTAACCCACTCTGCACATCATGTTTCCCTCTCCATGCAGCAGAATATAAGATACAAAACACATTGTAAGATATTACCTTAAACATCCTTAATTCCTCATCTGTGCTTTCAGAGACTACATACATAAAGGATAGGGACTGCAGGTCAACGTTGAGAGCCATGCTGCCATTACTTGTAAACCACCTGTTTAGATGGCAGAGGAGATCTCATTATGTCTGAGATTCATGTAGTCCACATGTATTTCTGCAGACCTTGGCCAACACAGGTTTTGAAGGTTCCACTCCACAGTGTTGCTATCCTCCATAGCAAACAAGAGAAAGTAGGGGACTCATTGAACTGATAAAAGCCACAGATTTTTGCAAGTAAGTTTTCCGCTCCTGCCAGGTTATCATGGGAGAGGAATATATAGGCTTTTATGGTGCTCCTCTAGGCCTTCAGATACTTTTATATTTGAACAGACTGAATTTCAATCATCAATAGATTATATTCGTACCAGATCAGCCAAAATGACATTATACTGTTTTGTCCAGCACCTAACAATATCAAAATCACTGTTTTACCTACTGGATATGTAATTGAACATAACGTTGCATTTTTGGTTTCCATTACCTTCTTTTTGTATTGGCTAGTAACATTAACGATGAAAAAAGGCAGCCCTCATAAAATACAGGCTTGTTAGTTAAATTGTGCTTTTTTCTGGTAGATTGTTCAGCAGAAGAACATAAAGCGCATTTGTTTACCTAACATAGAGAGGCTGACTGAAAAATATTCTTAAAAATAATTTTTGCTGACAAAATAGTAATTGTGTTTTAAAATAGATCTTTTGACTACAAAAACACATTCCCCACTCAGTTATAAGAATTTAAATTCTGCCACAATCTAACAGCAGTATATTATTTTGTCCTTGCATCAGCGGATCTAAAAGCACTTTACAAATATTGACAAATATAGCTTTACAACATCCCTGTGAAACAGGTAAATATCCCCAGTTCGCTGATCGGAAAACAGAGGCACAAAGAGGCTAAGTGACTTGCCTCAGAGCTTGTCTACACAGAGTTCAAACAGCATGTCAGTGACAAAGCCAAAAACAAAATCCATGTTGCCTAACTCCCAGTCTTGTGCCTTACCTTCATGTTGCTTCTTTCTTGCATTTCACTGTTCTTATAGCTTTAACTCCACCTCTTTCAAACAACTCCATTTAACATACTCTTCACTCCTAATCTCATCTACTGTCTCCCTGACTCCTCAACCTCGTTCCTCTTTGACACCTAGCTCTCTCTTTATCCCACAACTTTATCTTCAGTGACTTCAACTGCCACCTCCATGTCCCATTTGACCTATTAGCCGTCTACCTCCTTTTGATATTTTTAAAAGCTGAATCAACACTCTACCTCACCAAAATTATCACTTGCTTGACCTTGTCTTCACTAGAGGCTACCCTTTCAGTATCTAAGTGCTCTCTCTGCCCACCACCTCATCAACTTTATCACCATCCTGCCTCCCTCTCTTCTCCCCAACCTTTCCATAACCTCTGCTCCATCAGTGTCCATGACTTCTCTCTCCACTCATTCTTCCACTGTCCCTATTACCAAGTTCCTTCATTCCTCCAACTTCTTTAGCTTTGTCTACACTGCAACAGTTTTAACTTAAATCAGTTTTTAAACTGATTTAGATAAACTGGTACCACCCCTTGTATGGGCACATCAGAGATTTACCAATTTTAATCTAAATCAATATAAGCCAGCAGTAAACTGATCTATGTCCACAAAGAGATTTGCTGTGGTTTAAGTAAACCAGTTTTTAAAACCAATTTTAGTTCAGCTGGTGCAGCTTCTATGTTGAGACAAGGCTCTTAGCTTCAGCATTGTGCCTGTGCACTATTAAATTGCTGCTATGTTTAATACAAGAAACCCTGAAATGGGCAAAAATAAGTGCCTTACATAATCTGTTTAGCATGTAAAGTGCATTTGGATGAAAATGACACATAAATGCACCACATGTTTTAAGGAGAGGGTTTCTCCTGTCAAGGTAGCTACCGCCTCTCAGGGAGGGGGAGTACCTACACTAATTGGAGAAGCTCTCCCGTCGGCATAGGTAGTGTCTTCACTAAGCGCTACAGCAGAGCTGGAAGTGTAGACAAGCCCTAAGTTCCACATATAAACATGGTCTTTTCCCCTGACCCAGGGTCTCTTGCAGGAGCCTGTCCACTTCCTGCAATTCTCATCCCCAAAACCCTACCGCTGAGAGTTAAGGAGAGTCTTTCTGCTCTCTTCTGCTGAGGCTTTCCTCCAGCAGACCGGCTTCTAGCCTGCTCCCTGCAGGATTGTGCTCCTTATGCTATCTATCAGGAAATCCAGGAAGACCTTTTTACTCCTTTCTCCTCGCTAGCCTGGCCTCAGGTTTTCCTTTATATCCCAGCAGGTCTGGCTCTGTGTTACAATCTTCTACCATGTGACCCAGGAACTTATTCCCTTCACTTGGGAAGGGGGGCTGAGCCTGGCACGGGGTGTAGCTGAGCCCTAACCTCTTAAAGGGCCAGGTCTCCCTATGACAGTCCCATTCTTGGGATCACGTTTATTAACAAAAACCTAACAATGTCAATTCAAATACTATCTTCCAGACCTCCCTCTTCTCCAAGTTATACCATCCTTCCCCCAAACCATCTCTTTCCTAAAACCTTTCTCAGCTACAGCTTCTTGTCCTGCTTCTAGAAGTATCTTTCACCTGACTGGTGCAGAGAATCCACTCCCATGTCCTTTCCTTCACTCTGAGTCTCATCTTTGTCTGAACAGCCTCCCTCTTCAGGTGCTGCCTCTGTGTTGCCTTCCTCTGACTCAGCTGCAGGCCAGAGTCTTGAAACATGGTGCTGTGACATGGACATGTGGCCAAGGACCAATTACTCTGCTACAGTGCTGGGATCCAGGGGCCCCTTCATGGCAGAGGGCACAGGGAGTGAATAGAGATTTACAGGTATCCCCTGGGTCAGACATCTGCATAATAGTTCAACAAACGGTGGCATGTGAGATATCTACCGAGAGCCAATAGCTCCCTGGTAGTTATAATCAATGTGAAATCTGTGTGCAGATAATCTGTTTGTGAATGCTACTCGTTATACGCATACGTTTATATGAAAGACTATCTACTAATGGTTTCATTATACAATATGATAAATTGCTTAACTGTGCTTATATTTCACTAGTGGTGACCTGTGGCTTTGATGCTCAAGTTTATGGTAAGTCTGAGTGAGGGTGGATGAGTGTGTTGTGCTGGGAGATATTATGCTGATTTGTGCAGGTGGTGAAGGAGGGGTATGGACTGTTGTGAGGGGATATCTATGTTTGGGGTTATTGCATGTACTGGTTATATTGTGCTGGGAGATGTGTGTATTGGTTGTGCAGGTCATTGTGTTTTGTGTCTGGGTATGTGTGCTGGGGTTATTGTGTGTATTGGTTGTGTTGTAATGTGGATGGTTGTGATCACTTGTGGCTGGAGGTTGTGCTTGGAGATGTGTTGAATTGTGTTAGGGCGCTGTGGTGGTAGAATTGAGTGGAGGTGATGAATGAGAGGTGGTTGTGTTGATTTGTGTGGGGGCATTGGGCTTAGGGATTTTATGTGTGTGGGTTGTGCTGGGAGATTTGTGTTGATTTGTGGGGGTGGCAAATGAGGGATTTGGAGTTATTGTGTGTGCTGGTTG